ACAACAACAGTTCTTTGTTTTGGGACTCCATGAGGCAGTAACCCGTATCACTGAAGTGTGGTTATATGTCTTTTGTTTTTGCTTTGGCGCTTTTTAAGATAGATTTTTTGTTTTGTATGTTTATTGTTTGGAGGAGGCGAAGAAAACTGGACGAAAACTGGAGTTTCTGACTTGAAACATTTAGAAATTAAAATTAAGAAACATGAAAATTCTCCTAAACACAAAAATAAGTTGGTGAGTTTTTTACTTTTAGGAAGAGTAAATATTGCTTCTTGTTTAAATAGTGCTTATGCAGAACAAATAAATAGTCATAACGAAACAGTTAAGAAAAATCGATTGCTTCTTTCAAAAATTATAAATATCTTAAAACTATGTGGTATATGTAACCTTCCTCGTCGTGAACATAATAAAAAAAGTGACTCGGTAAACAAAGGGGTATTTTTAGAACTGATACTATACTATACTTAGTGCAAAAATTGATCCCGTTTTAGATAAACATCTTAGTGATGCCCATGTTTTTAAAGGAACTTGAAAAACTATACAGAATGAACTATTACAGTAATCTACATAATTACATCCTAACTGATGGTTGATCGATTATCCACTTCAGCCCCCACACGTTGGAATTTTATTTCTCGCATTGTATCTAAGTAGCTACTGTACACACTGACAGTATTCATTTTGGGGTACTTGCAAAACACAATGATCTTCAAATTCCTTAAAATTTTTCGCCTGCAGCGCTAAGCGGGGGGCTGTCCCCCCCCACACCCCCGCAGCTCTTAGGATGTACGTCCTCTTTTCAAAATGCGCCCCTCCTGTATTCAAACCCACGGGCCGCCACTGGTTACATTGTCAAAAAATTTGTAGTCAACTGATTTTGTGTTTGTATTGAATTCATTATTCACTGAATGATTAAATATTAAGCATCATCCATCGACTCATCAGTGTTAATTACTGAAAGATTTCAGACAAAAATTTTTATTTTGTAATTCCATGATAGTGACAGTGTAATTTTTATAAAGAAGTAAAAAATAAGAATAGCGTGCCGATTACATTAAAAATGAGATTCTTATTTCTTACTTTGCTTAATTTTTTACAATGAAACTAGTTTTACAATGAACCGAGAAAACAATGCATTTACTATTCCCGTACGTGTCGATATGGTGTTAGTGTATGGTGCAGCCGGTGAAAATGTGCTCGCGGCGACTAGGTTGTACCGGGAACGATAGCCACAACGTCACCCCCCATGTGCAAATACAATCCTACAATGCGTTCAGCGGCTGCGAGATACAGGAAGTGTTATTCTTCAAGGAGAAGGACGTGGTCAGCAAGTGGACCTTAATGTTGAAAATGCAGTGTTGGAAAATCTTAACAGAGACCCCACAATTAGTACTCGACGACTCGCACAGCAAGTAGGAACCTCATCTCGTACCATACATCGCATCTTAAGGTGCCAGCTGTTGTACCCCTATCATCTGCAACCAGTTCAACAGATTTTACCCCCGGATTGTGATCAACGAATGCGTTTTTGCAGATGGTTTTTACGGCAATGTGCCAATCAAGTAGACTTTCCTGCTTATGTTTGTGTAACAGATGAGGCGACATGATGAAGTGAATTTCCATAATATACACATATGGGCCGATGAAAATCCTCACGCGATTAGGGAAACTCATTTTCAACATCGGTTATTGGTAAATGTTTGCGCTGGCATAATAGGCGATGTACTTGTGGGTCTGTATTTCTTTGAAGGACGACTAAATGGACACATATGTTGACTTTTTGAAGAAACGGTTGCCTGAATTATAGGACGATGTGGTATTACAAGTTTGGGCACGCATGTTTTATCTTCAAGCTGGGGCTCCTCACACAGTACTCGAGAAGTAACGACACTTTTGAATGAAATGTTTCCTCAGCGATGAATTGGACGCTTTGGTCCTGTGGCGTGGCCACCTCGGTCACCCGATCTAACTCCAGTGGACTTTTATCTTTGGAGTCACTTGAAGTCATTGGTTTACAATACTCCAATTGCTATGGTGGAAGAATTGTGAAACCGTATATTTGAAGCTGCTGACACAATTAGGGGAATACCTGGAATCTGGGAAAATATTCACCAAAATTGGGTATGTCGGTGCCATGCCTGTATCCGCGCTAATGGGGATCAATTTCAAAATTTTCTTTAGAAGTGGTAAATTTTATTTCATTTTGTTCCATATTTTAATGGAGTTTGTTTAGTGCACGCAGTTGGCAACTACAAATGCTTACGGATGAGGTTTTGTTTGCGAACTCTTTCAGTAACAACAATGCATTTAAGATGGTAATTATTATTAATTATTATAATAAGAAAATATCAGTTTTTTTTCTAAATATCTATTTTTCTTAGTTTGTACTTTGAAATATTCCCCAAAAGTTGAGAAGTATCTTTCTATCTTTCAACGAAGATTTGTTTACTAGGCTGGTCTACAGCACGTAACTCATCGTACAGCACACGAACGGTACATTTCCAGAGAAAATATTTTGATAAATAATTGAACTTTAATTTATGAAAAAAAACGCAAAAATTGAACTTTTTGGTATATGACTTTTCTATTACAAATATCGTTGCGAAGCTGTAGTGTAATTTTTATAGATTATGGACACCACACCCTGTATGAAGGGTGCAACTAAAATGTTCGTGAAAATTTTAACGACGTAGAAAATTTAAAAAGTTTCTGTAGTATACTGAGTGTTCATTATTAATGAAAAGGTGTGATTTATTTTAAATCTTTGTAAATAATGTTTTATTTCATTCGCGAATAGCATGATTACTCTTATTATTATTATTATTTTAAAAATAATATCATGACACTTTTAGTAATTAATGTGTGGTCAGTTTTCTGGGGTAATAGTGTTCTAGTAGTTTTAGATAATATATGTTTTAAAATAATTATTTTATTTCTTTACTGATCTGGCTGAATTCCTAAAACAGCTACTTTAGATTTATTGAAAAAGGGGAATTGGTTTTTTATAATTTTTTGTGGATGTATTTTTTACTCTTTATATTAAACTTAATTGGGTTAGCCTTTGAGAAATAAATAAAATAAATACCTATTTAATAAGTTTTAAAAAAAGTGTTTAGCGAATAAATACACCTGATGCTCGAACTGTTACCTTGTATTCTGTGTCTTTTATTAGCCTCTTAAATGAGTATGATGGATATCTTTGCGAATTTTTAATCGTTTTCTAATGGTTATGGAGGATACATTTGCGACCAATTTTTATAGCTTATTCTCATGAATAACAGGAAAATGTGTGTGCCAATTAGGACATTAAAATAAACAGGATTTTTTTTATGGTGCCACTATGTCTCAACACAGTGTTTCGGGACATATGTTTACAAAAACTTTGCATTTGTCACTGAAGTTTTGTTAAGTATTTTAGTTACATCCTGTAGAAATAACTATCAAAATTTTAACAAGAGTTATACAGTGTAGGAAAGTACCGATGGTCTATCAGAAGTTACGTGAGAGCGATAAAGTAAGCCAGAGAAATTCATGTGATAGACAAGGATGGCTATAATGAAGGCGTCTAATAGTCAACGCCCATTTCACCCTTCCACAAATAAGAAGTGGATCTTATTTGTGGAAGGGCGAAATGGGTGTTGACTATTATAGCCATCCTTGTCTATCACATGGATTTCTATGGTTTACTTTATCGCTCTCACGTAACTTCTGATAGACCATCGGTACTTTCCTACACTGTATGTACAAAATATTTTCGATAGGTTGAAGTAAATTTGAAGCGGAAACTATTCAAATATTTGTACTTTAAAAGTCTATAAAGTTAAGAAATAACTTTGATATAAAAATGTCTGTAGAAATATCACAATTTAGGGAATAGCCATACTAACGTAAGACAAAAAGTTTCCAATTAAAAAGTTAATTTGAAGACTTTGACGATATTATTAAAATATATTTGGTTTACAAAATCTGATAACTATATCTAGGGGGTCTGTGTCAAATATGTTGGTGTCATCCTGCAAAGACAACATATGCCGGCTCTGGGTGGAGACGGTTCTGCCCGAGGACGGGCTGGTCAACTTGTCCCAGCTGGATCCGCAGGCGCATCATCCGAAATTCAGGACCCATCGACACAAACACAGATTCATGCAGCGCCTGAAACATATGAAGTAAGTTTATCGTTTAGATATATTTTTAAAAATTTGAAACATGGGTATTTTAACGCCAAACTTTATATGAGCAAAGTTATGTGTAAGCCATATTACTATGTATGCTGCTTAATTCATACATAATGGTGTTTGTATTTCGAGTACATGTTTTCAGAATAACGTTTTATTATTTATTAAATGTCACAAGGATGTTATGTGCGTATGGGTGAGTAACAGAGATCTCTTTCTTGGTGTACTTACATTAAAATTTGTGGCTTAAGGATTCCGTAGTGTTCTTGATTTATATAAAGTCAAAATCTAATCTAAAATATTTGATGCATTCTGCCTTATGGCATGCGGTTTACGCTTCTGGGCAATATTAAGGTAAAATAGTAATATATAAGCTTATAAGGTACTTGTAACATGTCTTATTGACGAAAAAGATGTGTATCATAAATTTGGATAAAATGCTTTGCTGGAGTTTGTTGTTATAAAAATATGTATTGCGTAATTGTGAGTCATTTATTATAGAAGGAAATGTCTCAGTTGCTATCATTATTTTGTCGCTTAAGTATGTCTATGAAGCAGGTTAGTAAAAGACTTACCACGAATTTGTTCTTTCAATTTTGTTATTACTTTTTTTTAAATTTCAAAATTATTGTCGACAAAACGTAAAATGTTAAAAAATATTTCTTTCAATTTTGTTATCACTTTTTTAAAATTTCAAAATGATTGTCGACAAAACGTAAAATGTTAAAAAATATTTCACATTTTTAAAATACTTGTAAATAATGACAATTATATTGTCCAACTTACTTTTCTACTTTCAATTGATACTAATTTGAACATATTTAATGTAACTTAACTATAATAACTATTTAACGAATTTATTAACATTTTAATCATATTTATAGTATCTGTTGATTAAATAACAGTTTTAAATAAAATATTTACAATCAGTTTTAAGTCTTTTACGATTAAAATTGTGTCCTTCGTCAATGCTGATACCCATGTACAGGAGGGCAAATAATTTTTAGGACTTGTTTTCATATAAGGCGTAATGCAAAGCATCACGGGCATGGCATTGGTGGACCCTCACCCCCTATACCTACCCTACCTTCCACTTACAGTGTACACGATTTTCATTCCTACGGCTACCACGGAACCGGTAAGTTTTAAAATATTTTTGATATACCTGGTTTCTTGATTGAAAATATAAAGTTGTACAGGTTTTGCACTTGAAATTCGATTCTTTCAAATCAAGTTCATACATTTGCAAATCAAATTTACCATTTTTAGCTAATGACGTTGCGGGAAATAACTACTGTGCAACAAAGATTAGAAGGAAAGATCGGTAACTACTTCTAAGGTGGTGCCATCTGTGTTTCAGTTGTATGGCGCTGCTATAGTGTTTTCTGTGTGTATACTTATATGATACTTATTGAGTTTCAACTTAGCAACGTTTAAAATTAGGAGTTTGTTATTTTCAACATTTCTTTAATTTCAACATACGAATACATATTCAGGTCGGTTTATTGTAGAATAGAGAACATAATTTCTTACACAAAATCAATAACTTTTCTTTTATATGTATGTTAAAAATGAGGTGATAAAATATTTTATTAAATTTTTGTTTAAAAATAAACAATATTATTATTAATAACCTTTATTTTATCAATAATGTTAATTCAACATAATCAGTAATCTAAAAATTAAAAATATTTAATATGTAAGAAAAAAAAGTGTGGAGAGCGCTGAAACTTTCATACAAACTCGATACTAGAAATTCCACTTCATACATATCCACTTGCTTTTCCAACTTGTGAAAATTTAAATTTCCTGGTTTCATAACATTATCTGTTGCCCCCTCTGATGCCTGGGATGTTGATAATCTTCTACTGATACTGATTATATCGACTGACATAACTTTTCAGATGTTTATTTATTACCTTATGTATATAGTCGTTGCACCTTCAAAATGCGATATGTATTCTATCAAATTGTTTAGTGGAGCTAAGAAACTGTTTCTTGCCCTTTTTTATTTAATAATTACAACAATTATTTTTTATTTTACTATGGATTTTGTATTGGTAATTAAATATCTTTTCGTTAGCGTTGTGTTCCTCTCTATATTCATTATAATTATTTATTTTATGCTCACTAAGTTGCGAATAACTTGATAACAAAGAAAGATATCAAACCCTCTTTTGCATCAAAATGTAGCTATTTTTATGCTCTTCAAACTAACCTATAAAAAGTTTTATGCTGCTATTTCACATTTTTAAGAAAATGTGAATCAACCTAAACTTGCATAAATAGCGCCAATAAATAAACAACACTTGTTAGAAATTTCAAATTTATACTATATTCATCAATGTTTTGTGCTGAATTCATTTATGTAAAGAAACCTATAGCACTGCTTTTAAAATTTTTGAGAAAAATCCATAAAACGGCATTCTTTTAACATAACACCATCTATAGGTTTCCATATTGAGGTAAATGACATTATGCATCCACCACGAGATAAAGCATGAAAAGGCCTTTCCAACGAGGTATAACACTATGGGCTTTTGATGAGCCAATCCTTAAAAAATGCATTTTTCTGGTCTGACATTAGGGGCTTCCCCCACCCTTTCTGTCGAGAGATAGAACAAAATGTCAATAACAAAAGTTATGCGCAATGAATCCATATTTGTACTATTTAATATACCTGAATTGGAAACATTTCTGAGAAAAATTCAACTATGTTTTGGTATGTAGATTGCGCTCCCAAGCGGCCGAGCTATGAACTTGAAAACTATTTCCAGCGATTTCTCTGGTCGATTTATTTGATCCGTCATTTTTTTTCTGAAATTCTAGGGCCTATAGTTTCGCTAATATCGTACCTCACCGACCTTAGTGGGACACCTACTTTTGTTTTGGTTATATTTTACCCACACTTAAAATATGTTAAATTTACCCCCTTTGAGACTAAAATAAGTTTCATGTTCCATAACATCATCTTAGTATTTTTTGAGAACAATTTCAAACTATATATCGAGGCCATCATATCAGCAAGGCGTATGAACCAAATCTGAAATTTACAGGCATACACCTTTCTGATATAGTTTTGCAAAATTGGTTCATACGCCTAAGTAAAATACTTTAGAATAGTGTTGATGTTTATGAATATATACGCCCTTCTGATATATTAAGCTATTAAGCAAATTGATTAAATGAGGTCATACGCCCTAAAAACCTAAAACCGACTATAGTGGCTCTTACGCCCTTCTGATATGACGCCCTCGATATTATATCCTTCAAGAATATATTTTTATAAAATATTAAGTATAATATGTTTTAGCTTTATTAGTGTGAATTTATATGCCAAAAGTTTAATTTAATTTGCAAATGGTTGGACATGATTTATTATATAGGTGTATTTGATACGCAAAAAGTTGAAGTACAAGACCTGTAATAAACAAAAATACAAAAAACATTTTTCAAAGAATTCAATTTTTTTCACTGATATTTAGTAGAACACCAATAATTTGATTATAACTATACAAAGTGAAGTGTCCTTTACGTTTTAGTAAAAACTTTTTAATTTTTTATTTTAAAAATAAGGTAAATGTGTCATTTATATGGAAGAGTGTAAGCAACACGCATATTTTTGACCTATCGTAATGACGAGCTTGTTATGATTTTATAGGAGTGACGCCAGGCTTGCATTTCCACTTAGCAGCTTCGGTTAATGCCGAAACCGATATTCCTCTTGTTCCAAGCATTAGTTATTGCAATCCACGTCCCGCGTTTGTCTTGCATTGGTTAGATAACAAAGAGATGCAGTTTAGTTTGCAGGCAGAATTGTTTTTAGAAGAATTTGCCAGGTATTACGTACATTAGTTACTTTTACGAATATGGTAATTTAACTATTATAGTTATAGGCCGGTTGTTGAAAATCCAGACTCAGAAGAATCTTCAGAAGAACCGTTAATGGACGTCGGCTCTGACGGGGTAGATGCCCGCATAGAGAGCTTTCTAAGGGACTGGCACCACAGTCCAGATTTATTGTTTAGCATACATCCCGTGGATGGCAGTTTTCTGATATGGTATCTGTATATTTTCTCGTGCTTCCACTTTTATTTTATTTTATTTTTCGTAGGGTCGTTGAGTGGCTGGATGAATTTCATCCTGGTTCGTTCCGACAAGCACAAGTGTCTTTTTCAACTCGCATACCATCTGCGTTTCCTCTGGGAGATTCTATGAGCATGTCGACTACAGTCAGCTTGTACAACACCACGCCCCTGTTGAAACATTTGGTCAAGGATGCTATTGCCAAGGAAGTCTGCCATAGAGATCTGGCCAGTGTGAAGGAGGAGGATGAAAATATTTCAAAAATTGAAGTAAGTGTTAAAATATTTGAGTATTCTGTACGCGGGAGCGCAAATGGCTCCATCTGTTGTGCGGACTCCCAACTGTGCCATTCAAATGGCTACAGTAGGAAGTGACCTGCTAACTGCAGGTACTTTGTTACAAGACTGCCACCCACAGAGGGCGTAACACAATGTTTGAATTGTCAGTGTTGCGAGAAACAACTACTCCGAGAGCTACATGCCCCTACCGGCATTGAATTATACTCGCAACACCTAGTGCAACAACTAGGATCGTTTGTCATCAGTTAACCCACCAGGCACAGACCGGTTTCAGACTTATTAGTCCTCATCAGTGTGTCATAGGTGCATGTAGTTCCTTGTCGTGATGATACGACGAAGAACAGCTGTCGGTTGTCGCACCTATGACACACTGATGAGGACTAATAAGTCCGAAACCGGTCTGTGCCTGGTGGGTTAAACTTATGACAAATGATCCTAGCTGTTGCACTAGGTGTTGCGAGTATAATTCAATGCTGGTAGGGACATGTAGCTCTCGGAGTAGTTGTTTCTCGCAACAATGACAATTCAAACATTTGAGTATTCTGTTTTTGTTCTTTCAAATGCAACATACTATGATTCCTTGTTAATGTTTTTAACAACTACTTTAAAAAATTGTACATTTCATAGTTTTACTTGTTTTGTAGACATCAAATCCGGTAGATGATCAAAACGAAACATCTCCGGTGGTATTTTTAGTGACCAAACACGACAACGGCACGCTCAATCTGTGGCAAGTGATGTTTGCCGACAAGAGCAAATTCAGCCAGGTGCTTAGTATCGGGCACAAAAGCAGGGCATCAGGTCACAGATTTAGAGTTAACGACATAACCTGTCATCCTGTGCTTCCTTTACTGCTGACCACCAGCCATCACAACATTGTGGATCAAAAGTCCCATCCCCAGAACAGGACAGTAAGTATAATTCTGTTTTTTTTTTTATTTAAGTTTTAACAAAATTGTGATTGGTAGGGATTCTGTAGCGAACTGATCCTGTGGAAAGTAGATGCGGTGGGGCCACTGTCAAAATCTGGAGGTATATGCGAGCTAGCAAGAATCAGTTCTCCCGAACCTTCTGCATTCAGCAACGTAGCGTGGATTCCTACACTGCTGCCCTCTAGCACCCTTGGAAATCTTTCCAACTCCCCTAGCGCTTGCTTCGTGGCATCCGACGGTCAATGTTTAAGAGTATACCAGGCAGTTATCGATGCCAGAACATTGTTAGCCGATTTATCGTTCAGGGAAAATAGGAAGAACGAAGATACTGAAAGTGTGTCAGATTTGTCCTCTTTTAACCAAGAAAGCTTGTTGGAAAATATCAACATCGTTTCACAACAAAGTACCTCAAGACCTGGGTGTATCATTCAGCTGGAGACCATCTCGGAGGCTATCCAGTGGCAGAATACCACTTTCTTACACGTCTACCAGGAACAGCTAATCACCGGACAGAAAAGTTCGCCAGTCAACTTATCAGGCCATGACGCCATGGTCGATTTGCAACAAGCTTCTGTCTTTGAGGAACCTTTCTACATCGTTCTGTTAGATTGCACTGATCAGAACACGATAATTCACATGTGGAAACTAACCATCGCCTCTACCGACATTGAATGCCCTTTAACTAGTAGCCAGATGTACGTTCCAGATTCTATCCTTGTCCAAGATGAAAACGACTTATCCAGGAAGAACAGCATGGAATCTCTACATTTGCGACCCAAACTTAGCCCCCACATTAACTTGACGGTAACAAGGGAGGTTAAACAGGTGTTGTTGCTCCCAGATGGCGTAGAAATCGTTCATGCAACTCCCGCAGCTGGCCATCTCAGCTCGGCATCTATCTATCCCGCTTGCTTGGCCCCATATTGTTTTGCGACTGCTTGCAGCGATGGAATAATACGGTTCTGGGCGGTATCCACCGGTTCCAACCATATTAAAGAGTTCAGCCATTTATTTTTGGAGGAAGATGGAGAGGTGGTTAATACAGGCAAAATTTGGACGGAATGGAATATGATTAAAGAATCAGCAATAGAAATCGAGGGGCAGGTCCTGAATATTAGCGTGGCTTACTCCGGTAGGCTGGCCTGCGCTTACAAGTACGGGAAGAGCTTTACGAGGCCCAGTAAAAACGATCACGACTCGAGATATATAAATCTTTGCGTTGCTATTTACGAATGTGAATCGTCTGGCGGCACTGAATGGGTTTTGGAAGATGTAATCCATTTGAAAAATATACATTTGCCCAGGATCGACATCAATCGGCATTTGGATTTGAGCTACTTATACGATTCTAAGACTTTGAAGAAGAAACAGAGAATCAATGAAGTGTTGCATACTTTTTCCAACGACGACCGGCAAAATCTCACGGCGGAACCACACATCAAGTCAACTTTACTGGCCGTTCCCAGTTTCACAACTCTCCAGTCGCTGAGGAAATCGATTTCCGAAATGGGTAACATTTGTCCGTTGACTCAGAAACATATCGTGCAGTTGGATTGGGTGTCGAACGAAGACGGGTCGCATATCCTAACGGTCGCTTGTGGCAGTAAGATCATGTTGTACACTCCGCTTTCTACGGATTTAGCTCAAGCCAACGTCAAAGCGATGAAGGAGTCGCTAAATAATTACCGTCCTATATTGAGAAAGGCCAGTTCCCTAGCCCAACCCCTTTTCGTTGACGATTTCAAGTGGATGACTTTAAGAAAGATAGAGTTGCAAACTGCAGACGGTTTGCCAGCATTGCCCATGCAGATAAGTTGGGTGCGGGACGGTATATTAGTTGTTGGTATGGATTCGGAAATGCACGTTTACACGCAGTGGAAACCGCAAAATCCAAACGTTCCACAAGTCGAAACCAGCGAGACCGACAGTAAGAACGGAAGAGATGTTGATTTTCGTACTTTAACTCAGGAGAACCAACGGAAGTTAGCAGCGGTTCCAACTTTAGGACGTATAAGTTCTGTTAACCTTCAAATATTGGATCGGAAAAGAAACAAGGAACCGAATGTGGACTACATGCCAGATTATGGGCTTTTTGAGGCTTCGAGGATTGCCTGTCCAGTTCTACCCCAATATCACCCGAAACAATTGATGGAATTGTTAAATTCCGGAAAAATTAGATGGGTTAAGGCCATCTTATCGCACCTCGTTAAATGTATCGGGGGAAATCAAGAACCACCCGAAGAAATTCAAGGATGGGCCAGGAACAGAACTTTATCCGTCAGTTATCCAGCAGGTAGTCCTGAACATCGCGCGAGCATTGGAGAGATAACTCTCGACTACGATGAAATAAATAACATCCCTCCCTTACCTTTGTGGACCTTGTTGGCTGCCGACAAAGAATCCTCTGGGGCTCAAGAAGAAAAGAAGGATTACAACGAACTTTTCGATAATAACGTCATAGTGGAGGAGTCCCTGGATACCCTTCTTGAAGATCAAGATGTATCTCGAATGGAACGTAGACCGTCGGAAAGAAACATCGGACTGACTCATTTCACTCCAAGACAGGGACGGATCTTGTCGAGACTTCTGACCCATATGCATTTGCCAGGTCTGTCTAGTTTGGACCAAATGCATTTGCTGGCGTTGGCCGATACGGTGTCGACTTGTAACACTGACTTGGCAGAGCGATTCGCTATCGACGCTGCCAAATCTGCAATGGCAAAGGAGAATTTGACAGGCCAGAATGATGAAATCATGACCGATAATTTGGATGATTGCGGGCTAAGGTTTTTGTTGGCAATGAAGCATTTTGGATACTTATTAAGGTAAGTTTTTTATTATTTGGTGGTTTTAAATGTCAATCATCAAAAACTGAAATGTAAAATTTTGGAGTAATCATCGTTTTTTAATATTTTAGACCGATCGTAATAACTCGTTTAGAGGGAAATAAAAAAGAAAATTGTTACCTGAACTTTTGTAAGTGGAAATGGTAAAGGGGCTTACAATAAACAAAAAAAAATAAATGCGTGAGCAGGTGCGGCGGAGGGTTGATTTGGGGGGTTGAAAAGTTGTGAAAAATTGTATCATTGGGATTTCTGGCGAAAGTTGACGTCAAACAAAAAAGTATTTAATACAAAAGTTGTAGATCATGCAAAAATCTACAACTTTTGTGGAGATCACTTTTTAAGATAACCACAAATTTTCCAAGAAAAATGCGAAAAAGTTTTTTTCTGATTTTTCATTTTTTATTTCTCATTTCTGCAAAAATTATTTAATTTTGACGAAACATGGTGAAAGTATACCTTTCTGTGTCTTAAATAACCACACATTTTTTTAGATAAAAAAAATCAAGAAGTTTCTGAGATATTCATTTTTTCCGGTCTGAAACACTTTATTCAAAGAAAAATCATCGTACAGAGTTCTGCCGGTGATCATTTTTTTTGTTTTGACATATACTTTTTGGTGAAATAAAAAAACCTGAAATACCAGTTCAAAACATGCTCAAAAATGGAAAAAAAAATATAAAAAATGACGCATTTTTTTAATAATTGTTGATAGTTTGTTTAAATTTAAAAAAAAATTAAAACTTATTACACCATTCAATTGCACGGAAAAAATACAAAAAAAACCCAAAACCCAAAATTTATTTTTGTACAGTATTGCTATAAACATAAGTAGAATAGTGAATAATTAAAATAAATAATAATTTTTTTTTCGTATGATCGATTAGTGTACCTNGCGAAAGTTGACGTCAAACAAAAAAGTATTTAATACAAAAGTTGTAGATCATGCAAAAATCTACAACTTTTGTGGAGATCACTTTTTAAGATAACCTCAAAATTTCCGAGAAAAATGCGAAAAACAGTTTTTTTCTGATTTTTCATTTTTTATTTCTCATTTCTGCAAAAATCATTTAATTTTGATGAAACATGGTGAAAGTATACCTTTCTGTGTCTTAAATAACCACAAATTTTTTTAGATAAAAATAATCAAGAAGTTTCCGAGATATTCATTTTTTCCTGTCTGAAACACTTTATTCAAAGAAAAATCATCGTACAGAGTTCTGCCGGTGATAATTTTTTGTTTGTTTTGACATATACTTTTTGGTGAAATAAAAAAACCTGAAATATCAGTTCAAAACATGCTCAAAAATGGAAAAAAAAAAATAAAAAATGATGCATTTTTTTAATAATTGTTGATAGTTTGTTTAAATTTAAAAAAAAATAAAAAACTTATTACACCATTCAATTACACGGAAAAAATACAAAAAAAAACCCAAAACCCAAAATTTATTTTTGTACAGTATTGCTATAAACATAAGTAGAATAGTGAATAATTAAAATAAAAATAAATAATAATTTTCTTTTCGTATGATCGATTAGTGTACTTATTTTTTTTTTAAAGTTGTGTTTTTTTATATCTAACAAAATGCCGTTTATAAAGTTTTAAAATTCCGGGTAGTTCTGAAGATATCCGAAAAAACCCGAAATTTTGCAAAATTATTTAATTTTTTTCTGGCTTTATTTGAAAACGAATTTTAAAATAAATTCCATATTTACAATGCCACTTTTTTCGCTCTATTCAATGGCGTCAACATTTTTGCAATCTGACGTTTCGTCTTCCAGGGGCCATCATCGGGTAAATTTTTTTTAAATACTGCTATTTTTATAACAAAATAGTAATTTTTAATTAATTACTATTATAACAAAAAGTTTTTAGCTTGTTTTAGCTATCATTTCAAATTTTTCCTGAGGACGGCTTTGAACGCTTTCAAAATATCTATTGGATGAAGTCATAACAGTATAATAGTCAATACCGCACAAAATATCCAACAATTTTTTTTACTACTATTATAATACTAATTAAGAATAATAAAATATTTCATAAATTCATATTATTTTTTTATTAGGTACCATTATTGATTAAAAAAATTGTTGGATATTTTGTGCTGTATTGACTTTTATACTGTTATGACTTCATCTAATAGATATTTTGAAAGCGTTCAAAGCCGTGCTCAGGAAAAATTTTAAATAATAGCTAAAAACCTTTTGACGCCATTGGATAGAGCAAAAAAAGTGGCAATGTAAATATGCAATTTATTTTAAAATTTGTTTTATCATTTGTGCATTTGTAATTCGACTTAGATGTTTATAGCAATACTGTATAAAAATAAAGTTTTGGGTCAAACAATGAATTGAATGGTGTAATCAGTTTTTGAATGTTTTTTAATTTAAACAAATTATTATTAACAATTACTGATAAATTCATTGTTGCAAGACATTTTATTTTTTTGCATTTTTGAGCATGTTTTTGTACTGTGATTACAGATTTTTTATTTCACCTAAAAGTATGTCAAAACGAACAAAATTATTACTGGCAGAACTCTGTACGATGATTTTCCTAAGTAAAATTTTTCTTTGAAAAAAAAGTGTTTCAAACCGAAAAAAATTAATATCTTAGAAACTTCTCGATTTTTTTATCTAAAAAAATTTGTGGTTATTTAAGACTCAGAAAGGTATACTTTCACCAAGTTTCGTTAAAATTAAATTATTTTTGCGGAAATGAGAAATAAAAAACGAAAAATCCAAAAAAAGTTGTTTTTCACAATTTTCTCGGAAATTTTGAGGTTATCTTAAAGTGACTTCTAAAAAAGTTGTAGATTTTTGCATGATCTACAACTTTTGTATTGTATTATACTTTTTTGTTTGACATCAACTTACGCCAGAATTCTCAATAATACAATTTTTCACAACTTTTCAACCCCCCAAATCAACCCTCCAAAACCCCTGCTCACACATTTATTTTTTTTTAGGTTTATTATAAGCCCTTTTACCATTTCCACTTATAAAAGTCCAGGTAACAATGTCTTTTTCTCCAAGTGTAATTTGGTTGGACTATTTCCCATATAATTTTATTTACATAAAGATTTCTGAAATCTGAAGGTATCAAATTTAATAAGTTTTAATTTTATTATTCATGATAAACTGGGAATTTTGAGTTTAAAATTAGAAAAATAAATCAGAACGGCTCGCCAAAACCTCTGTGAAATTCGTCTTTTCACTTTGCAGATGCTTACCTTTAGCACAAAGATCGCAATTCCAAAAGCAAGGGGTTGGTAATAATAACCTAGCATGGGCGTTCCATTCCGAGACACAAGAAGAACTCCTTAATTTGATTCCGAGCTACGCAAAAGGCGAACCGACCTGGACGCAGCTGCGGGAGTTGGGTGTAGGTTGGTGGATACGAAACTTGGCCTTACTCAAACAAAGCGTTCAAGTGCTAGCGAAAGCAGCTTATCAGTCAAAACAGGATCCGATGGACGCCGCTCTGTATTATTTGGCGATGAATAAGAAGAGTCTACTATGGGGTTTGTACAGGTAAATACAGACAAAAAATAAATGGGACAAATATGCGAAAAATCGCCAATTTTTAGGTCGAAACGAGATGAACGAATGACTACCTTCTTCTCCAACAATTTTTCAGAGGACAGGTGGAGGAAAGCTGCCTTGAAAAATGCCTACGCCTTGCTAGGCAAGCAAAGGTTCGATCACGCAGTCGCTTTCTTCCTGTTAGCAGGAAATCTCAAAGACGCAGTTGAAATTTGTTTACATCGCCTTCAGGATCTTCAGTTGGCAATAATCATTGTCAGATTGTATAGGGGGGATGGAGAAGAATTGCAGCAGTTGTTGTATAAAGAAATCCTGGGATGTGATGAGAATGGTGAGATAAATTCAAAAACTAGTTCGTTAAATATCCGCTATATGCATATGCACCACTAGGGACCACTTTTACAACTCTTGCCACAATATTTAGTGTGTATAACCCATCATGTTTTTTCCATCCTTTTTTTATAATATACCTTAGACAAATAGGTTTGAATTTTAAAAACCTCATAGAAGTGTGACGTCATTTTCTTATGATTGCAGTATCTAATCCATAAATAAGGACAAAACGATGTTGTCAAGTCATTAAATATTAATATAGCTCTCCTATTAAGGGGACATATGCAATTAGAAGGAGGAAAATGAGTCAATTTTGAGGAATTTTTTAAACTATTTGCATTCATCAGACTGTAAGTGATTTGTAATAGTATAAATTTAAAAAAAAAATTGTTTTTGAATTCATTTATCGTCAAAATGGCGGAGCTGTGGTAGACAGTTACAGCAATGTTGTGGCGCGATTTCCATAACAGTGTTACAGCCTAACTCCCCGTGAAATTCGATCTGCATCAAAATACAAAAATTTTCATATTTAAAATGTTTGGTTTCTATGTGACGTTGAGAAAAATGGAAAAAATGCTAATTTAAAAAAATAGCATGCATTTAAAGATAAAATTCGAATTTTTATGCGAAATTTCTGGAGAATTTGTATAAAAAAATAGTTTTTTTTCAAAATTTTCCAATATCATAGGGGTAATAATGTTTGCAACATTTATACCAAGGGGGAACTCAATCGATTCAATAGTTTTTGCGCAATCATGTACACCAGTTTCAGAAATGTAGTTTTGAGAAAAACGGTAAATAACCCTATTCCATCCTTTGTAGACGGAGTTATTCGATAAACGAGCGTCTCTGTGGACGAAGGGGTAACTATAAACTAAAAAACTAGGGCGACTATTTCCCGAAACTCATCTGAAAATGGTTAATTCTCCTACAGACATCTGGTCAACGAGTCACCTGTACACTTTTGATTCTACCTTTTTCGAATTTCGTTTTCAAACTTTCAAAATATATTCTTCACATACAGTTCTATCATTTAAGAATATATAAAAAAATCGATTTTCTGATCGTTGTCACCATCGTCAAACGGGTCCGGAAACTACCGCGTTCGTGGACAATACATATACCAATATTGAAAATCATTAGGTTCGTTCCAACTAAAATTCGGGATGGTTCGGAATCGTAATAAGTCTGCGCATTATAATTTTCGCGTTCCTACACAAATTCAGAACCGTTAGTACTTTTCTGTTCGCTGTTCCAACACGATTTTTGAACGAGTTACGAACGGTTCAAAAAGTTCTGGGATTTTACAAGAATTTCTAATCCTGAGCATGCATGGTGGTGCTGGTGGTGGTGTGATGACGGTTATCCACCGCATAGACCTAAAAAATAGGTCTATGATCCACCGTTTATCATAACCTCGACTTCGTGCTTAGCATAGATTACACAGATTGTGCTTAGTTTATTTCACAGACTCTTTTATATGTTTTGTGTCTCAGACCTTATACTTTATTTGATCGGAAAGTGCTGAAGATGTCCGATTTCGAAGAAATTATGAAATTATGATGAAGAATGACATTTGCATTTTTCTGATTAGTAGTTTCGGTTCTAAAAATATCTAAAAATCGTTCCAACAAAGAACTGAATTCTGAACCGTATCTAATTTGCATCTGCGCATTTGCAAAATCCAGAATTAAGTTAGGAACCATTCTGAATTCTGTGTTGGAACAAACCTATTGAAATTTGCAGTAAAAATTTAGTATGAAAAGCATGATTTAATAAATTTTAATTTTTATTTCTAATTCTTTACTGTTTAAATTTCTTACATGTGGAATACACTGAAAAATTGTGCTCTGAAAGAATCTGTTCCTATTCTGTTTTCTGGAGTCTAAAAAATCTAATACAAATGTCATTTTTCTTTCTAATGTTATAAGAATGGAACTGGCTATTGACATATTCACTTACTTAATACTTATGCCATTCAAGTTACTGAGGCTGAGAATCATAGTTTTAGTCTTGGATTTTGTCACATTATTGCTAAAAAATCAATCTTTTGCTAATGGTTGCAACAAAGTTATGTTATTATGTAAAACAGATAAATTTGAATTTGGTATAGGAACGTCATCTGCGAAAAGGATACATAAAATACTGCTGTCAAAAATGTTAGATCATTTACATAAATTAAAAAAAGGTAAAGGACCCAAGACCGAACCTTGTGGAACACCATATCTTACTTCCAAAGTATTTGACTTTATATTATTGTAAAGAACATATTGGGTTCTGTTGGTTAAATATGAAAATAGAGATAATCTGTCATTTGAAAACCATAAAAATACAATTCTATTATTAAATTTTCATGTGATACACAGTGGAAAGCTACAGTAAGGATTCTTTTATTCCTCTACGGTTTCTGAATAGTGAGATATAAGCCATTAAATTTAATTATTAGACCGAGTTTAAGAATGATTTTCCACTTTTAATCAGTATTTGATTTGTCTTAATTGGTTCAAAAGTTACGAAGAGAAGGATTGTTTCCTATTTTCATTACGTCTCAATATCTGGGATTATTACATCTGGATATCTGCAATTTTCATATACATATCTATGTCAAAATATCTATCAAAAGGATCATACTTTTTTATGTAACCAGTTTTAATCATTTCTGACATTCTGCTGCTTTGTAGGGATGCAAAACTTAATATCGGCAGATAACGAAAGTCGAAAGACATTTCTCGACTTATTTCCTGCCTCTTGAGCTTCCTCTTAAATTTTATTCATATCAAATTTCATAAATGCCAAATCTACCAAAGTTTGCAAATTTCCACCAGTCCACACGATTTGCATGCATGTAACGGATGTAACAATATTTTTCTTATAGGAGAAAATCAGGACCTTACAAAGGCACATCCCGACCCATTTTTAAGATCAATGGCCCTGTGGCAAATGAAGGACTACCAGGCGTCGTTAAACACGCTCCTGGTGGGTAACGCCGGTACTCAACACCACGCACACGATGAAGAAGCGAGGGAAACAAAAGAAGCAGATCCGAACGTGTTTAACTTCTATGTGTACTTGAGAACCCATCCTCTCCTTGTACGTCAACATCTCGCGGCGTACGGCACAAGAAAAGTTTGGTTGCCAGGCGGCAAACAGATTGTAGTCGACGAGTGGATAACGCCTCTGGAGAGGCAGCTGTACTTTGCTACGGCCCACGGTCACTTCAGAGCCGGTTGTCCCGCTTTGGCCCTAGAGGTGTTGTCTAAGCTGCCTTACGTAGTATCGGATCCTTTGAAACAACCTACAAGTAAGTAGTTTCCGAGTTGACTCTTTTCTCGATTAATGTCATCAATTTCAGAAACATTAAAGGACAGTAAACTGGACAAATCGGAAATTTCCACTGGAATTATCTCGTGGGACAGTAAACCGCAACTCAGCAAGAGCGAGAATCTTGATTGGGGTGCTCCTGTAAGTGGTTTAGGAGTAAAAACTGATGACTTCGAACTCAAATGGAGTGACGACGAAGATAAAGATTCCGATGATTCTGATGGTGGGATCAGCATGAATATAGGCAAGAAGAAAGAAGACATTAAAGAGGAGGAGGAAGAGGAAAATGAAGAAGAAGAAGAGTATCAACAACAAATCGATATCATGGCGCAACAACTTAAATTCATCGCTTGTTTGAAGATACTTATGGAAGAACTGTCGACGCTGGCAACTGGTTTCGAAGTCGATGGTAGTTTTTTTTCTATTTCCGTGTAATACAAACCTTTTAACCTGTTTATGTGTTCAGGTGGTCAGCTCAGGTACCAGCTGTACATGTGGTTGGAGAAAGAGGTGGAGGCACTTAGACAGCTTTGCAATTACACTACAACGGAAGTGACCGATCTTTCTGAACTGGAACAGTCTCAGGAGGGGGATGGTGCAGGCACGGAAATTTCAAGCGCCAAGCCAACCCTGCACGAAATTTTGGTACAGGAGAAGCTCGATTTTGAGGCCAAAGTTCAAAGAGCAGCTAAGAGAAAACGTTGGTTGAGAGGTAAGAGATTTTTTTTTAACGCTATTGTTATATTGACCATTTGGTTTATTTTCAGCTAACGAGACATTACTGAGGACTTTATTAAGTTACTGTTCCTTACACGGCGCTACCGGCGGCTTGGCCTCCGTCAAGATGGAACTTATGTTGTTACTACAAGAACTCCAGCAAGAGAAGACCCATCAGCAGTTACTGAGCCCCTTACCGTTCCCGACGAGTTTGCCTCTTCTTGCTGCGACTGTCGCTAGCAGCAAAACGGTGGTCGCCGATCCAATTAGGTATCTCCAGTGTCTTACGCACGACATGCTGCAAACTGTACGTTTTCATATAACGGAAAGAGTGCATTGTTTATTATGTATACATTTTTTTTTAGATGGTGGAAATGACACAACCAAACACCAGCCAAACTCAGTTGATCGTTTTGCGAGATCTCGCCATTGCCCTTTCCGCTTGTATCTATCAGTCTTTGTGCGATTCCGATACGTTCAAAAACGCAATCCAAGATCCACAAGTAAGACTCTAACATGAATACGCATAAGAATCATCGATTAATTGAAATTACTTGCAGGAAATCGGCGCCACGCATTTGGTTGGTAGGAAAAGACGCATTTCCATTAACGAAGGACAAAACATCATTACTTTGCCTCCGAAGTGGCCAGGAGTTACTAGTTTGAGGTCTCTCCTGGCGAGGGAGAAGGACGAGGATTCTCCGCGATTAACAGTATTATTATGCGAGTCTTTCACGGCGGTGTATTTGGCCTTGTTGTTGTACGGGCTCGTTACTTGCGACTGCGTTATTTTGTATCACGTCACTGCGCACACTTTCAATCAGGAAGTTTGGGGATTGTAAGTATTAGAATAGGAGGAATTTCGTGATAGTAGCTAGATTTTTAATAAATTCTCTAAAATGATTTCCTAAAAAATCACATTAATCCGGGCGAACACATGGCTGTTTCAAAAATCGGGCCTAACTCGAATTTTATGGGTTTAAAATTAAATAAAAAATACACAGAATAAAAGCCTAAGTTTGTGTATTTTTGTAGAGGACGAGCGTTATATTGTTTATAACAAAGAAAAAAAAATGATTGCTCTTTTTTCAGTTTTTCACTGATATCTCTGAAAATAAGTCTCTGATCGTCATGAGGCATACTTATCGATTTTCTTCCTGAGGAAATTTGCTACGATAGGATTTTGTGAAAGCTCGCAAAAATTTTTTTACATTGCAAAATTAGCAGTGAAAAAAAAATGTGCAAAATTTTCAGAATTAAATAAAAAGAACAAATTCGACTGAAATTGGATGAAACTACAGGAAAAGATAACCGTTGGGGTGCTCAACAAATACCCGCAATTCGGACCCCGAATTATATTTTCAGCATATAAAGGAAGTCTTCTACTTTACAACAAGACCAAGTTTATTCCAAAATATTAAATAGAACAACCAAAATACCGTTCAAAAAAAAAAAATTGGTCGGATCGTGACCTTTTTTTATTAAGATTAATGAAATTATTCTTATTTATTATTTGCTTGTAGACTATTTGGGGGCGGAATAAAGAAATTATTGCGTACCGCAAGCCTGACCGGCGCTGGCGGGTCAAATGTTCAGTTAATGACACAACACAGCGTACAAACTCCCACCGATGAATCTGGCGGTCCTGCTACTTGGCTCAGCAAACAAAGAATCAAATTGAACACAAAGCTACTTGGACACCAGACGTCTGTCATGAAGGAAGACAAACCCACTTATAGAGAACAATTTGTGCCTCCGGAAATGAGTATTTTGGCATATTTGCTACAGAAGGTAAGTGCTTTTAGTGTTTTTATCAAATTTTAAGGTTTGTGACACATTTTCAGCCTACTTCTGGTGATTATATCGATGAAGCGGAGAGTGAAAATGAAGAAAGCGAGGAAGACGAGGATGTATTCGATGGCCCTGGAACGTCGACGATTAAAGTTGTGAACAATGAACATTCAGACCCTAATTCCTACTCTTGGCTGGTTTTGAAGCTGGCGACATTAAAAATTGTTCAAAATCGACTTACGGATTTTCTTGCGGTACGTTAATAGAAAATATCGATACCACTTGGAATATTTTCATCAAATTTGTACATTTCAGGTTGCTGGCTTGGAGATGAGTGAACTTCCTGTGGCTAGTCCACTCATACACAGCGGTCTCAGGAGACTCACAAATTGGCAGGACAACCTGAAGAAAGAGTTGGACTGCCGACAGACGCCATCAGAATACATACCTGGATGTTTCATTGAAAACACTAGCGGACCTGCGATACAGAAATATAGGCAAGCGATTTTAAGTTCCTGTTTGCATTACCGACTAAATTTTAAAATCTTTTTTAGGCAGTTGTTGGAACCACACAATACACCATTCAGCGACAAGAGTTCAGCATGTCCCGCAAGAAACCTGTGGACATATTTGGTGCACCAAGAGTCGGTCCAAGATATATTTATAAGAGCCGTTTTTGGAAAACGTAGATGGTCGGGCGTTATAGAGGACATCTTGCCTCATCCCGAGCCGGCAGCTATCGAACCTGTCAGGATCATTCACAAGGACCAGGATTCCATAGCCGCTTTCTGTCTCAATCAAGTAAGCCTAGAAAAAAGTCAATCGGCAGTCATTTGCTTCTTTATACTTTGGGCATTGTTTGTTGGAAACTAAGTTTCACCTGTTTTTTCAAAATGTTAAATTTGTGGTTATGTTATAATACAGTTATAGATGTCTTCTTTTACCTTGAATTTCCGACGATTACACATTTCAGCAAATGTTTTTGGAACTATCAGTATTCGTATGATTTCACTTTATAATTGACAGGTAAACCCTTTTCCCTACTATATCAAAAATCATAATCAAATTTAGATGTCTTGTTCAACAATGCTGCCAACTATAAATTAAGAAAAGTCACCATGTCACTATAAAAATTCCGCTACACACCACTATACCTTAAAATACCGTGCTTTCACCGTACAACGCTACATGGGGAATTAGCTTTGTTCAAGTTCGTAAATTCGGAAAGGTGGGGAGCGCTGGGTGCTACAACCTTACTGATGTGAGATGTGATTGATTACGTACGCCACAGCGCCGCACGGCCGCGCACATAGAGATCGACATCCCAACCGCTGAAGCCGCACGTTTGACCGACGCACCTCCTATGTACTGTTTTCCTGTGAAAGCACGGTATAGTCTTTTTGAATTCAGTTGAACATGTAAAAAAACGCCTGGCAATAAAATTTAATGACTTTCATAGGCGTTCCTAAAAAAGTTTTCTGCTACGGGTAAAAAATTATAATTTGTATATAATGTGTAGAAAATTTCTATTATATTTGTTCATTTGGCTAACAACATATTTTAATTATTTATGTCCTCAAACAATTTTATTATATTGATGGTAAATTTCGTTTTGTTCCGTTTCAAAAGGTCTCCAAAATGCCTTGCTGTAATATCATTTCTCCCTTTCACAATTGCAATATCAATGATTAATAGAAGGTGCCTATAATAAATTAAAATTACCTGAATCACCGAAAATTTCGCATTGCTGCACTGCACTGCTGGGCAATTTGTCAACCACTTGTCAACAGCTGAGATTTATTGCCAAGTGGCCCAATGCAGCTGTGTTTGTATTTTGTTTGCCCGCGTTCACATTCTGGGCGTATACGTTTCTACCACCTTCACATTTATTTCGATCAGACCTGTATATAGGTATGGCTAAATAAATATGGGAACATATTTTTCAAATATTTCAATGCCGAGTTGCTGCATGAGTGACCGAATCTGGTACATACTGTCAACCTGTTGGTTCTTGAATTGATATCGGAAAGACTACACAAATTGTAATTTTGAATGGAGGTCAGTATTATATTCAGCCATTTCAGTGTCAGAGGTCACTGACACTGAAATTCACAAACCGATTAGTGCTTTAAGAAAATATTAACAAATACTTTTCATTAAAAGCCTCAAATTATTTTAAAAAATATTCCAAATTCTTCACAGTAGTGAGTATTTTTATTTATTTTTTGAATGAATATTAGTTAATATTTAATGAATGAATATTTAAAAAATGCAGTGAAAATCGGTTATAACAACTTCAAGGGATCGTTTATTTACAGTTGTTATAACTGATAGATGTAATAAAAAATTACATATGGGGCATTCCACACCAAATCGACCACTTTTAACCCAGACCCCTTTTGATTTGGCTGAAACTTTTTTATTGTTTTCTACCCCATTGAAAACCTCTGAGAAATTTTTCAAATTTTTTCACCCAACTTAAAAAAAAGATGAATTTTTGAAAAAATAGCTTTTTTTTTTAAATTACCATAACATTTTCAAAAATTGAGTTATCGAGGCATTTTTTTAGTTTTGTTTTTAAATGTACTTTTTGAAAAAAAAATAGATAAAAATTATGTGTACCTATCTTCACTGTTTTTTTTTTCAATTTTTGAAAAAAACTAAAATTTCTTTTACCACTTTTGAATTTTTTTTTTCTTTTAAAAAACATTTTTTATGAATCCTCAAATTTTTTCAGAGCTGTTTTTTCAATTTCAATTTTTTTATTGATTAAAAAATTTTTTTTTTCAAATTTAGCTTATTTCACATACCATTTTGAAAATTTTTGAAAATGTATATAGAATCCCAAAATTGAAAAAATATATATGAAAGAAATAATTGAGTGGTAAACATGAAAAAAATTTAGATTTTTTTAAAAAGTTAAGAAAAAAATTGAAAATCGTTTTGAACAATTTTTTTGTATTTTATTTCCAAAACTACATCCAAAAACAAAGAAAATAAAAAAAAATGTTATTTGGTCCATTTTTGGACGAATGGTGGGCTTTAAAAAAGACATGCAATGCATTTTAACTCAAATAAGTCACTTTTAAACCATCCTCTTTTGACTGAAATTGTCATCAGTCACTGCATAGAATAAATTTTTTTGGGATTCTACATACATTTTCAAAAATTTTCAAAATGGTATGAAATAAGCTTGAAAAAAATTTTTTCAATCAATAAAAAAAAATAGAAAACGAAAAACCACTGAAAAAATTTGATGATTTATAAAAAAATGTCGGTTTTTTTATAAAAGAGAAAAATTCAAAAATGGTACTTGAGAAATTTTGTTTTTTTTCGAAAATTAAAAAAAAAAGTTTCAAAAAGTACATTTAGAAATAAAAATTTTGAAAAAGTTAGTTATTTTAAAAAATAAAGCTGTTTTTTCCAAAAATTCATCTTTTTTTAGTTGGGTGAAAAAATTTTAAAAAATTCTCAGAAGTTTTCAATGGGGTAGAAAACAATAAAAAAAGTTTCAGGCAAATTGAAAGGGGTCAGGTTTAAAAGTAGTTGATTGTTAGAATTTGCTAAAAACTGTACGTTTAATATAAAGCTGAAAATGTCACTATATTTTGACTCAATTTGTTCTTTTGCTCTCGTTCAAAGTATAATAACCTAAAGAAAAAATAAATAAATAAATAACACAAAACTTGGTACCAATTCTTCAATAAACAAGAAAATAAAATTACTCCCAAAATCAGTATAATTACTCGTAAATAACATACATTATTTTTTTCTCCTAAACTTCAATGAAGATATTGATGTTTTATGTTCTAAAGGGATTTACAGTGTTTCTTTTGAAATATATAATTCAAGACCCCGTTAGGAATCCTGATCCAATGTAAAATCGAAAAGAAGGTGTCTATTGTCTTACGAAATGCCTATAACTTTCGCTTCGTTACTTACAACACTAATACGGCTAAGTCAAGCAAATCTTCTTAACTAATGCAAAGACATTCAACCTGTTAAAGGTAAACGGTGGTCTAATCGCCGTGGCGACACCCAAAGAACTGCAAGAGATGGATATATCCCTTTTGCTCGAACTGCCCGCGTGGCTTGAGGACGAGTGCGAATTGGATATTCTCAACTTGAACAAAGAAGTTCCCGATCCTAGCATTCCTCCGTTCCTCGTCATCCACGGTTCCAACGAAAAGGGTAAGGAGACGCAGCCCGGAAGCCCCCAGCCTGGTACAACTAGTCAGACCGGACGTGGGGCCAATGTGGTGGGTTATTTATTATTTTTTTTGAGTGCGGTAATATATCATTCAATATTTGTATTTAGAACAGATATTTTCCAAATTGGGATGTGAGTATATATACCGATTCCAAGTTCATTAACTGTGGTGGTGCTTTTTTGTTTGATACATGATATCTTAAAGATGTTAATATATTTCCTTTAATTTCACATATTAAAATATACAGGGTGTACTTTTAAGTGGGGGTTATTTTTTTTAGGTATAATATTACGTGTCTTCCAGAATACTAATCTGAAATTTTTTTTCCAATCAAATAAATGGTGAAGTTTATAATTCACGTTTTAAATTGTGCTTTAAAGTCTTGTCTATTCCACCAGAAAACAGAATTAATGTCACAAAATATTTTTACATACTAAGATCTTCGGCAAATATCGTTAATAAATAATGATAAATAGAAGCAGTGAAAGAGTGACTCCTTGAGTATTAAATTTCAAACGTTATTACACATATTAGGATTGATTATAAATTGTTTTTCAGTATTACTGTGGTTTTGATAGTAGTCTTATTACTGTGGATTACTGTTTACGAACAATACGTGTTTCTAAATGTCAAAGGAAGCCCCCATATAAATATGATCCCCATTCAAAGTTACGCCTTGTACAAACTCTCAAAAGTTTTTAAAATTTTGATATGTCACAAAATATTGGCAAAAAATGGTTTTTTAAATAAAATTTTTGTTTAGTAAATGTTTTTTTTGTACGCCAAAATGATCTTGAGCGACATCGTAACTTTTTCGTTGCTTTAAATTATACAGGGTATAGCAAAAGTACCGGACCGGCAGAATAACTTCTTCTTCTTTTAGTGGTTGGTCCTAATAAGTCCCATAGCACTACGGCCTGATTAGGCCTATTGTGCGTCCCACTACTAGTCCTATTCAGCAAGTAGATTTGTCCTTTTTACAAAGTCCAAAAGCTTCCTTGCTGATACTTCTCTTAGTTCCTTGGGATCCAAGTAGGGTCGCCCAAGGAGCGCCATTCTGCTACGTGCAAATCCCGGGCACTCGCCCATGATATGCAGATAAGTTTCATCCGCCGATTCACATCCTCGGCAGACCGGACTGTCTACAAGCTTTAGCTTATGTACATGTTTCCTAAAGTGACAGTGTCCCGTTATGAGTCCTGTCACTCTCCTGAGCCGGATTCTGTTCAAGCTCAGTAAATCATTCGCTCTTTCCTTCGAAGGATACTCCATGAGCTCCTTAGAATGGCTATATCCTGGCCTTGAAGTCCAGTATTTCCTGTGTTCTGTCTCAGTCCATTTGCCCAAAGCCCGCCTGACCACACTGGGAGATGTGCCACAGAAGGGCTCCGGGCCAATGAAAAAGCCTCTGTTTCGGATCCCTTCCTAGCAAGTTCATCCGCTTTCTCATTTCCACAAATGCCTTTGTGCCCTGGCACCCAACACAGTCTGACTGTATTGTTGGTGGCCAATTCAGTCAGCATTTGTAAACAATCCCACACCAGTTTTGAACTTATCTTGTGTGCGCCTAAAACTTTTAATTGCAGCTTGACTATCAGATAATATATATATGAGTTTACGTTTATAACCTCTACGTACATTATCTGCCAGACACGCCATTATCGCGAAAATTTCTGCTTGGAATACGGTAGGGAACTTCCCCAGACTGTAGCTTACACTCCATCTGAGTCTGAGTCCATATATTCCAGCACCCGTCCCTCTGGTCATTTTGGAGCCATCTGTAAACTATACTAGGCTCCACCTTTCCAGGGTTTCAAACCTTTCCTCCCATTTGCTTTGATCCTCTATTTGAATCTCAAATGACTTGTGGAAGTGAAACCTTGGAACCATCTTGTCGGAACCAACTTTTGGGATGGTATCTGATGTGTCTACGTATAATCCTGGAATAGGAACTTTCTCTTCAGTCGTTGTTATTCCTGAGTCGATATGCTGCTAGCCGCGCTTCTCTTTCCACTACTATATGCAGCGGTGGTAGATTTAGCATGACTTCTAGTGCAGCTGTCGGAGTCGATGCCATCGCCCCCATTATACGTAAACAGGCCAATCTCTGAATTGCAGAATAACTTGGCAGAGCATTTTAGAGAAAAATGTTAAATACAAATGTTTCTCCCTGGCTATCCGATGGTGACCTTGACATTGACCTTGAAAATCATTTCAAGGTCAAATGTGACCCTATATTTGTGACCCCAGAAAAGAGCTAAAAATTGTACGTTCAGATATAACTGAGTGATCCCTCCCTTTTGATGTTGGGGCCCCCACAGGGTCAAACTAATAAAACTACAGGAATGGCAGAATAACTCGGCAGGAGAGCATTTTAGAGAAAAATGTTAAATATAAAAGTTTCAGGATTTCTCCCTGGCTATCATGGTCAACATTTTTCTCTAAAATGCTCTCCCACCGAGTTATTCTGCCGTTCCTGTACTTTTGTTAGTTTGACCTTGTGGATGCCCCCAAGGTCATATCCGAACGTAAAATTTTCCGCTCTTTTCATTTCTGTTGTCAAAAGTATAGGGTCCCATTTGAAAAATCACATTTGACCTTGAAATGATATTCTAGGTCAAGGTCACAATCGGATAGCCAGGGAGAGATCCTAAAACTTTTATATTTTTCTCTAAAATGCTCTCCCGTCGAGTTATTCTGCCGGTACTTTTGCTACACCCTGTATAAAGTGATTGACAGTATAATTTTCTTCGTTATATACCTAACTAAAACGAAATATTAAGAGCTATAGCAAACAGGCAACCAGCAATACATTTTTATAGATTTTATTACACAGATTGTCTAAATATGAATTAATGCACAAATAACAGATTTTTCCCCATTTTAAAGCAGATTTTCTATAAAATGGACTTAGTTTGAAACTCAAATTTTTGGTGTAAAGAAATTTGTAATTTACAATGCCGCTTGTTCAAAAGCGGCAAATTACAAATTTCTTTACAACAAAAAGTAATTTGAGTTTCAAGATAACTCCACTTTTTAGAAAATCTGCGTTAGCATGGAGGAAAGTCTGTTATTTTTGCATTAATTCATATTTAGACAAACTGTGTAATAAAATCTATAAAAATGTACTGCTGGTCTAACCAAGAACTTTAACTGTAGAAGCATCTTTGAAAAAGTCAACTGGTTTATAGTGATAATACAAGTATAACTCGTATTGACAATTATTAATTTATGTTAGACGAAACTTTGGCATCTCTATTGTTGTACAAATTTTGCGTATGTGTCTGTAGATGAAGGGGTTAAGCTTCCCGGGCTGTCATGATGCCAATTTTGTCCACCTCGTTCTGCTTCGGTCGGCACACATGCTTCGACCGGTGTGTCTCTAACACAGCTCTCTATTAGTGCTTCATGATAAATGTTGTCATGTTGATTGTCCATCTTTTGGTTTGCTAGACGTGTAGATGTTATCGGACTATTAGCAGTTTTGTTGGTTACCCTTGTAATGTTCCAGTTAATTTTCTTCTTACATCTGTTGGTTCATGTGGCTTTAAGAGGAAAGGGATATCAAAAATATATCGTAATAATAATTTTTTAGTGAATGTCTGTACAATTTCAAAGACACAGGTGTACCGATGTTTCGTGCACAGAACTACTTACGATTGGTGGACTCAAGGAAATAAGACGATTTAACTCTATGCAAAGTTGCTTTATTTAGTCGCTAGAGGGCGTCAGAGTTCGTAGGAAATTTTATTGTAGAAGTGAAGTTGTAAGGTTGCTCGTCAAAAAAATAAGTGTATTTAATTTGGGGATGTTTTTCAAATTATTGTAAATGTTTTACTTGTACAAGGAATTCCAGGGCTATTTGGAAAAATAAATAAATTCTAGCGAGAAGATTAAGCAGCTTTGGATAGAATTAAGTTTGCTTAATTTTTATAAAAAAATGTTCTATTATTAAATGAAATATTAAAAGAAAGAAATTTATGTCTTATCTGTAGAGAACAATATAGTAAAACAATGACTGTATCTTTTCAAATCTATTTCTAGCAAAAAAAATATGCTACGGTGTATTTAACAAGCTTAATTCAAATAGAAAAATAATTTTATTCTTGGACAAATAGAGTTGATAGTAAAATATCTGCACGCAATTTTTGATATCCGTTCGTCTTATCAAATTGTATATTTGCGTCAAAGTACAAATATTGAAAGAGACTAGTGAAATATGTTCAGCTAAATTTGTTTATGTTTATATGAAGTTTGACTTGTAGAAAATTGTGGATGTATTAAGACATTTTTTCACTATTCTCCTTTGATAATTTCTAAATCGTTTATATTCATGGGCTACCATTTTAATGCACGTAGTAGTATTTCCTGTATCTCATCAGTTGCACAGTACCCATCTTTTACACTTTGAGTCACTTTCTGTTTAGTTTCCACATAATATGAATGAATGTAAATAATTTTGTGTAATGTAAGATATAAAAATGTCGTTTCTTCGTTATGCAAAGTTGTTTTGAAAGAATGGGTGGGTTCTCCATTAAAAATTGTAATTTAGAGCATGTGCTAAATATTGTTTGAATTTATATCTAACATGTCTTTTAAAACAGGTTCTAAAGCATAAGATCGATGGCATAAGAAGAATTACTGCACATCCTTTATTGCCCCTGTGTAAGTATCGTTAAAGATATTCGACCAATTACGCTAAATTTCTTGCCAGAAGTGAAAATTAAAGTATTTTGATAATAGAGCATGATGAAAACATTTCAAATGAAATTTGTGAATTAAAAAATTAAATAATGGTTGCTTACCTTAAGTTGTGGAAAATGAATAACATATGCAGGGTGTCCCTTAAAGAATGTGCCAAACTTTAGCACTAGATTCTACAACGAAACTTGGGTAAAAGTCATATACAATGTTGGCCAGTTTTCAAGATACAGGGTATTGAAGTTGAAAAGATAAAAACGATTTTCAGGCATATCTCGGAGATACGTTAAGGGATTTTTTTTCTAGTTTGATATGAGGAGTTTTAACGAGGACCTACATCATTTGCTGCGATTTCATGTTAATACAAAAAACCAGTGGCGTGAAAACTATATTTTCGAGACCCTTTTTTAAAAAATAAATGTTACACCGCTGCGCAAAGCGGAAATAAGTAAAATTGTTTCAATTTTCAATTATTTTTCATTCACTTCCAACTTGTGTTATAGAATAATTTTTTGATAATTAAATAGTATTAACGAACATTAAAATATTTTAATATTTTACAATATACTGTTTATATATGATATTTCGGGTATTACAGTTGTAAAATATATCAAACAATTGAGAAAACTAAAATATAAATACATATAAACAAAATTTTTGTTTAACGTAAATAATGAATTAATAAAATATACCAAGAAGAACTAAGAAAAACATTAATTAAACACTAATTATGTTTAAGTTTATTTTTGAAATATCCAAGTTTGACTGAAGACATGTTCAATATCTTTTTAAGAAAAATCTCTGAACAGTGAAAAATGATGGGTTCGGGTGTTTTATAGCATTTGCAGCAGCAATTATTCTTTGACACAGTTCATCTCTATTGTTGATAGAGGCAGCACTATAAACCATGGTCTTAATATATCCTCAGAAAAAAAATCAAGTGGATTTAGATATGGACTACGTTCAGGCCATGAGTGTTCACTTCCTCTTCCTATTCATCAATGAGGAAATATATTTGGCGCATTCTTTAACGGACACCTTGTATATGCGTAAAATGTTTTCTCGTGACCAACTGTAAAATACAATTAAGCATTTTTTATCACGACTCAAAATTAAATTTTCTCCAATTTTTCAAACATAATGATATGATAAAACTTTTTCCTAAGAAAACTGAAAATAATTTCAAAAATTAGAAAATATTTTCTTGTATTTAAAAAAATATATTTTGCAAATATATGTAAACCATTTTTGATATTTCAGGATCGACAACTTCTAATTTAATTTTCTATTCCTCAAATTCTGTTTGAAATTTTTTCATCGCAAAAATTCTCTGTGTGGGCCTTTATTAAAATACTGTCCTTTAATTCTCACCAACCACTTCTGCAACACACTCGAATAAACACGCATGTGCTAAGATTTAAGTTTATTTTATTCAAAATATGACAGATTTGACTGGAGGGCAAGACGGATCTGTACATTTGTGGGAATGGGGACATCAGCAACCGGTAGCTGTGCCTAGGCCACCCGGCACATACGCCAAAGTTACCAGAGTGCGCTTCTCTCAGCACGGCAACAAATTTGGAGTTGCCGATTCCGACGGAAATTTAAGCCTGTTCCAAGTCGGTCTGAGCGCGAACGCTACACGACCATTCTTTGTAAGTAACTTTTAAGAAACAATATTCAAAAGTAAAATCATAATTTTCCTAGACTTTGCCGTGCCACAACAAAGGCATAAGCGATTTCGTATTCTTAGGATCTTGCAGTTTGTTAGCTACCGGTAAGTCGTTTCTTACCATCTACAACATTGTATTAAATACGATTGTCTTTTAGCCGGCCACAGTTCCGAGAGTAAGAATGTGTGTATATGGGACTCCATCTTGCCTCAGGGCAAGGCATTGGTAATGGCGTTCACTTGTCACGATCAAGGCGCCAGCAGCTTAGTGTTCGCCCCTCAACATCAGGTACTTATTTCGGCTGGTAAAAGAGGTGACGTGTGTTTGATCGATGTAAGGTCCAAGTCCATCCGACACAAGTTTACGGCTCACGAGAATGCTGTCAAATGTATTGCTATTGATCCGCATGAAGATTACTTTGCTACGGGATCGGCAGATGGTGATATTAAGGTATGATTTTTTTTATTAATCCTTAATTTGCAGTAGATTGAAGAATCATTTATTTTTTTTTTTCAGTCAAGTGTAATATCTTTTAATATTTTTTATTTTCATTTCTTTCTCTAATAATTTCAGATATTAATTCTTACTATATTGATATATTGCCACTTTTTCCATTACAACACAAAAATTTGTTTTTAACGGAACCCCTGTATATTTTTATTTACACTAATTCAGAAACGTTCCCTTCTCATATATTTTTTAGTCAATAATTTCAAATTTGCGAACCTTGCTTCTTCCTGAAGAGGTCTTCGTAATAAATATTCATTTTAAAACATTTTTTCTAATTACAACTTATTACTTTAAAAAGATGTTACTTTTTGACTTGACTTTGATAAAATTAAAAATATAACAGTTTACGTGATTGTTTAATTTTCAAAATCATAAGGGCCCAGATCAATAGGGTTGGTGTAAATAAAAATTGCGTTAATTTCACATGCATAAAATACGAAAATATAAAAGAAAAACTTACTGTCTATTGATCAAAATGCGCAAAACAAAAGAAAACTACTTTTCCACGCTAGTGTGTAAAAATCTTTGTAAACCAAAATGCATGCAGAAAAGTATAAATTTTCAACATGTACTTAGAAAAAAGATTTTTCAGGTTTAATTTATAATTAAGAATTATTTGCTCCATAGAGACATACGGTTAAAATAGATATTTCATAAGAAATACGGTTTGACTTTATTTAATTTATTATGAAACCACAAAGCATGTTCTTATAACTTATTGCAATTAAATAATACAAGAAAATAATCAATTTATTATTTATTATTTAATCAATATTTATTCATAATTCTTGGTCACAGGTAATTTAAAAAAAAGAATAGTAGGAGTAGTGCGATTTAAATTATGTGTTTCTGAGTTTATACTACAAAATAAGTTAATATTTGGTTTATTATTTGTAACAGATTGGAAATTTAATAATTGATAGACCGAAAATAATTATTTATTTCATATCATTTCTATTACGTAAATGTAAATAAAATACCATAAAAAAAATTCTAATTTTTGGTACAAGATAGGCCAATCCTGACACTTGAGCTGTTTCTCGTACTTCTTGAGGAGATAATAGACCAAAAGTATAAATATGCTCAATTTTTGATGTTTTGATTCGTTTTTATAAGGCGTTTTTATTTTTTTGTCTTTTATCGTGATGTTAGGTAACTTTTATTTGTAAACATTTTTTGCTTTTGTTATGTAGCTTTTTTTTTAGAAGAATCAAGTTGCATATGTGATATTTTTCTATAACTTCAGTTTTACAGTTGTTAATAAACAAATGAAACACATTTTTTTTATTTTTTGTAACTGCATTAAATTTTGTTTTGAATTTACACAAAAATATTTTCAAGGTACCTATAAACCACAATAATTATTTTATAATTCAACTTTATGTGATGTATTTTATTATTTTTTTTCACTAATATGTCAGTTACATCCATGGCATACTTAAATATATAAAAAAAACGGCTTAATTCAAAAAAATTTTAGTGTTTAAACTTTGAAATTTAAATATCAAGTTTCACCCCAAAAGGGAATTTTACACAAATTGCAAAAATTGAAAAATATAAGGGATGTTTTATTTAAAAAAAGAAAAAAGTTATAGGGTTTTAACTTAAAAAATTGAATATAAAACCTTTTTACAAATTAATAAAAACCATTAAAAATGAAAAACGCCCTGTAATAGATACAGGGTAAGTAATTTTTCTCGAAAATCAAGGAGGGATTTATGAGGGAGGGCTGCTAAAAAAAAGTTGAGTTATTTGAGTTATTTATTACTTATTTCATTTATATGAGTCGGGCCACTACAACTTTATTTACAGTGTTCGTTCTTCAAGTTGAGAGTTGTAAATCAATTTATTGTTGTAATTTGTTTGTTTCTCATTAAATTTGGATATCTTTTGGGGAAAAGCTATGTTATTTGAGGTTATTTCTACTAATGAATACAATTTATTGGGAGCAAAGCATTCTCGGCAGTCTTCGCTTCCAAAACGTACTTTCATACTTTTTTAAAGTGAAAAATGTATACATGCTTATTATCGATGTAATGAACCGTTTTTGAAATAAATGCATTTGACAATAAAAATGCCATGCCATTTCTGACATATCTTAATAGTAATAAAAACTTGAAAACAACAGTTAGTACTTTATTTAGCAAAATAAATACATAATGTCAAATGTCTCGTACATACTTATTTTGCTGCATAAATTTTTGTTTTCATGTATTTAATACTAAAATAATATGGTACCTTCATCATTTAACACGTTTGTCTTAAAAACGCCTTATTGTATCTACATTAATATATGCTATTTTTTGCTTAAAAATGTACGAAAATCTTAAAAATTGAAAAAATTAAAAAATAGACATATATTTTTTTAGGGACCAAAAGTGCCGAGGATCTCTGCTCTTGGACCCCCAAAGTAGCTATCAGTAACTGAATTAGTATAAATAGCTTCAAATAACATGGCTTTTATCCAAGAATGATAAAAACTTAATGAGAAACAAAAAAACTAACTTCAAGTGCTAATAACACTACAGCCTGACCTGACCTTGAGTAAAAAAAATTAAATAAACTTGTGACTTTATTTTTGTAAGTTTTACCCAAATCCCGAGAGATTGCCTACCATTTTCTGGACACCCTACATATGGGTTCCATATCTTTGAATGAGGTAGTAGGCATGTGGTCACTAAATTGAAATAAGGAAAATGTAGATAATTTTTTTCTATCTTATATACAGGGTGATTCACAAACTATGACCAAAAATGAAACCTCGTAGTTTTAAGGGGAGTTCTATATAGTTTTTATCTAGGACGCTTCGTTAAAAAGATACAGGGTGTTAAATTTATTTTTTTTTTTTATTTTTTTAAATAATTTAAAAACTAGTAACTGAAATAATTTGAAATTGGGCACATATTTATATAAATATTTTCCCAAATCTGAGGCCTTTTCCGAAAATTTACACACCGATACAGAGTATCGGTGGCATATTTTTGTAAATAAAATAGTACGCCACTGCTTTACGACAACAATCATGATATTTTTGGATTTGTCTTTCAATTTTCTACAAATTACTACTCTCTTATGTTTTTAGAAAAAAGCCTGATTTTCGAGTAAAACAAAAAACGAACTGAAAACACTTTCACTTAAATGAAAAAAGCCCTCAGATTTTGAACAATGTTTACATAAATACATGTGCCCAATTTCTAATTATTTCACTTAACACTAAATTATTTAAAATAATTAAAAATATTTTTTGAAGTTTAACACCCTGTATCTTTTTAACCAAGCGTCCTAGATAAAAATTTTATAGGAAAGACTTCCCTTAAAATTCACCAAAGAATACGAGGTTTCATTTTTGGTCAACGCTTGTGAATCACCCTGTAGTTGTCAAGATGTCAAAAAAAAAATTAAAACAACTTTTGAATAAAACTTATTTTATTTTCCGTGTGTATATTATTTTAGATTTGGGGAGTGGCAGTTCCAAACGTCCTGCTCTCCTTGCCTGCCGAGCATGCAAGGAGTAGCTTCTTCAAAAATATCGGGCAAGGGGTGACCCAGCTACACATCGATTCACACGCGAGACTCTTCTCTTGCGGGGCCGACGGTAGCATGAAAGTTAGGCAGTTGCCCAATAGAGAAACTTTACTTAACCACCATGTTAAAATCTAAAGCTTATCAACTGTATTACTCTACTTGTATGTACATTTATCGAAGGTATTATAATTTTAAAATAATTTTCCTTTAGCAACACTTCCCATACTTTTATAGTTTGTTATCTGACTGCTTATTTTAGGTTCCCTTTACTTGTTGTTTGTTATCATATATGTAAAAGTCTATTATGTAATTATATGTGATTGTAGATTTTAGATGTTGTGCAATTTTAACTTCAAATAAAGTTGTTAAGGTCAATAACGAGGTTTTTTTCTTTTTCGAACCGCCGATTCTGTTATCGCGTACACTGTATTGCTGTATAATCAAATTTTGCGTTTATATTGAGATATTTTTAAAGTTTACATATTTACATGCCTAATTAAGGATAGTATCTTTATAATTTAAAAATAAACATACAACTTCAAATTAGCATAATTCTAATGGAAGTGTAAATTATTGAGTAATTTATTTGTGACTGACTACTTACTAAACTCGTTTATTGAAAAAGGTAAGTAATTTATTTTCAGCATTTTTTCAGCCTCATGTGGTTTGTGTGACTATTTAAGAATTCAAAAAAATAAATGGAAATGATCATTAATTTACAATACTTTTATGGTTAGAATTGTCAAAAGGGAGAATATTTGTATTTTTGAGTTTACATAAAAAAGTCATTCTTTACCAAAAATTTTGTTTTTAAAATGAGGTCACCGAAAATCCTAGTTTTGCATGTACAGGATGTTAAGAAAATGGGTAAATTTTTTAAAGTTTCAAGAAATACTATTGAAGAAGTTTAGAATAAAAAATATATCAGAATTTTAATTTGTGGATAAATAAGTATACTTCGAATGTTCTAAAATTAAAACAGTCAAACTAAAAATTTGGATAGTGTGCAAGAGTAACAATTAGCTTTGACATGCTTATAGGCTGATTTTATCCAAAAAAACAGGGTTAAAAGGAACTATTACGTTTAAGCAATTTTATTGCATGAATCGTTCAAAGGGTCATTTTAGATGAAAAAACCACGGAGTGCTATTAAATTAGAGGGTGGAAATTGGAGATAGGGGTGAAAATGCACCCCTTTCAGTTTTTTAATTGTAACTCGAAAAAGAAGCAAAATTTCGCTATAGTTCATAGGAAAAATTATTTAGAGAATTGAATTTCCCATCGAAATGGATTATTTAAAGAATTTAAAAGAAAAATTTTATGCAAAAAATCGTTAATAAACAATTTTAAAAAAGTAAAAAAAAGATTTATTTATTTTTTTTTACTTTTTTGACTATTAATAAACTCCTATTTGCTCGTTGGTTCTTGAATGTGCCTTGTTTTGTCTAGTTTTAGTTGTTTAATTTTGTTTTTTTACTAATAACAAGTTACACAATATTAAATACTGGCCTGGATGGACCAAATGACAGTATTAAGGGGGGTATCCTCGTATAGATGGCAAAAAATCAATGCGAGCTTCAAGATTTTTTTTTTGAGAAAACTACAATTTTTTTTAACTTTGACACTATTTTACTTGTAGCTAGTTTAAGAAAACATAAAAAAAATTCTATGATAAATCGCTGTATCATTCAGAAATATACCAATCGAGGTTTTTTCTTATTATAACACTTATACCTCATCCATGAACCTAATTTAAAAGTATAAAAAATTTATTAACAAAGTGGCGAACATTTGAAAATATTGTAACAAAAGCCGGGACGCGCAGTCATTTATTTATTAGTTCCCAGAACGGATGGCCAAAAAGTAAGATATTTCAGTTGTCACAAATTATCGGAGGATTAATGGTTTTCAAGTAGGTAGTCCTTCGGAGAAATTTGCCAATATTTTAACAAGTTCGCTTAGAGTCGGGGCCATGTGTTAAGCGTCTAGTATAAGAGAAAAATCGATATTTTAATAACGCGCGAAACCGCGAAAAGAGCGTAGGGGTTCCAAATTAAAATTGTAAATAGGTAGTAATTGGACAAGGAAGTCACTTATTAAACAGCTGGTTTTTCGGCGGATTTTCCAAGCTATTAAGAAGATATTAAATGACATTGACTAATCCGCCCCGTATTTGATACACGGAGTCACGAGGGGAAGGCTAGGGTTTAGTTTAGTTTCAGAATTCTTATATAAATGTAAGTCAAGTCAATTAGATAATTATTAACCTAATTATTAAAGCATGCCGACATTCAGGGTTCTCGCCAATAAGATGAGAACCGAACTTCTGGACCCAAGAAATGGACGTGGTCAAAGCGTCAAATTTTTTTTAGTAGAAGTAGGCAAAGAAAATTGCTGTACAAAAAAACTAGATGAGATTCCCTTCAAAAAGACTAATATTTACTGAATTATAATTGGTCAAACTTAAATATTTTTTAGATTTTCGTTGTTTTTAACATAAATTAGAATAAAAAAAAGTAAAAAAAAAATGAAAAAATCTTAGTTTTTACTTTTTTAAAAATTGTTTATTAATGATTTTTTGATTTTTTAATTAAGCCACTTCGATAGGAAATTCAATTCTCTACAAAATTTTTCCTATGAACTATACCGAAATTTTGCTTCGTTTTAGTGCTATATTAAAAAAACTACAAAAGTGCATTTTAACCCCTATCTTCAATTTCAACCCTCTAATTTAATAGAACCCCGCGGTTTTTTCATTTTCAATGATGACCCTTCGAACAAGTCATGTGATGAAAATCCTTGAACGAATCCTTCCTTTTTTGCAAAAAATGAGAATTAAAACGTTTAAGGGTAAACGCGACGAAAATCGAAAAATTGGCCAAGTTTGAGTGGCCATAATATCAGTCAATTCTCATCCAAAAATACAGTACAACCTCATTTTTGAAGGAAATTTTATTGACTTTTTTTTATGAAGCAATGCCTATACCTATGTCAAAAAAAAAACTAGAGGCAAAAAAGTAAAAAAAAATGAAAAAATCTAATTTTTTGCTTTTTTTTTCAAAATGGCTAGTAACGATTTTTTGCATAAAATTTTCCTTTTAAATTTTTTAAATAAGCCATTTCGGGGAAATGGGAAATTCAATTCTCTAAATAATTTTTCCTATGAACTATAGCGAAATTTTGCTTCTTTTTCGAGCTACAATTAAAAAACTGAAAGGGGTGCATTTTCACCCCTTTCTCCAATTTCCACCCTCTAATAGCACTCCGCGTTTTTTTCTCATCTAAAATGACCATTTGAACGATTCATGTAATAAAATATCTTGAACATCACCTATATCATCCTTTTAAAATCCTATAATCAATAACCTGTTAGCATATATATACATATATACAATGTAATTTCAGAAATTTTAAAAGAAGAAATATTTATATCAATTATTTTCCAATTTATTCTTCACATTTTCTTTATACAAATAAAACATTTTCACAAGCAGAAACAAGTTTTAGAGATTTTTTCATAGTTCTTAAGCAAATTATAGGTGTAGTTTTTACCATTCAATTCATTTAACCTAACAATTATTTTTTTTTTTTTGAAGACACTTGTTATGGTTGGTTTATAAAAAAGTATTAGTCCTAACTTAGCCGTAACTTAACCTTAATCTTAGTCCTAAAAATTTAAATGTACACAATGTAATGTATCGGTTTATAAAAATCTTAACGTTGCCCTAGTTCTATACATTACATTTTGTACATTTAAATTTTTAGGACTAAGATTAAGGTTAAGTTACGGCAAAGTTAGGACTAATACTTTTTTATAATCCAAAAATTAATGAACTGCATATTTCAACTGCACCACTTACATCATCATATTTTGGTTTCGCGCTGTAAGCCCTTCATCCACGTTTTTTATCATCTGATATTCCTGCCTTGTTAGATGAGGGCGCTTACCATTACGAGAACACGCTGTAGATCTTGAATTACTCTCCATTTTAAAAATACAACTTCTCCCGCGCGTTCGCCTATTTGCCTGTGCCGACAGAATTGCCCGGAACCGAATAGACGCAACCCAGTTGACGTCACACACCAAAGATCAATGAAAGTCTAGAATTTGCTGCAGCAGAAGAATTCCTAAAACTGTGCAGTATCAACCGCTGTGTGAGAATGCGGCACACACAATTTTATACGAAGAATTTACGAACGGCTCATACTTCTCTTTGTTTTGACTGCTAAAAATGGTGAGCCGGATTAAAGTTGAAGTTACTGCCTATTATTTTGAGATACGACTGTAGGTATGTTACAATTTTCTCACATAATTTCAGATTTAAATAACTTTATTCTTACATTCAATCCTAATTTTTTTCTTTTTTAGACCACTCCCCCTCCCTAGAAGCAAACTTAATTAAAAAATAATATGTATAGAACAACTTCCTGTGATACAATATAATCTACTTCTACTATTGTTTCTACTGCTCATAAAAAACTACGTCTAACAGTAAGATAATAATTTCAATCAAAATTTTTGTTATGCTAAAAAACGACAGTCATGCGATTAATCGAGACCTTGATATTTATCATGTTTTTTACAGCCTCATTAATATTTTTTATAAAAACGATAAGATAATTACTTTATTATTTAATTATTAATTTCTTTTCATAGCAGTTTGTGCCACACTTGCAACTGAGTATATTTAGCAGCATTAATCATGTTCATGTAAAAGTGTAATAAAGTAAAGAATATATCTTATCTAATAATAACAATAATGTTTAGTCTTAAACTTTTTGCGATCATAAAATATTATAGCAAGAATTATTCCATGCCATAATCATCGCAAGCTTATTGGTTTATTGTGATAATTAATGCAAAAATGTTCAAATGAGGTATTATTGAGGTCAAACACTATCTGTATATCGTATAAATACGTTAACGAGTTCAAGTAGTAAGAATATCCTTATTTAACAATAACTTGAACGAATTTATTGATTTTCTTACTGTATGTTATCATTTTTATCGACATCTAATTCAATTGATATTTTAGACAGTTTGTTAGCGTATTGGATCAAGTACCCATCTAAAGGGTTCCATGCTTTACCTATATACAGTTTTAACTTATTGTGTGGCCTGTACAGGTTAAAATTGGGCAATGTATGAGGACCGTTAGTTCCAGGATTACATTTTGAATTGACCAGGGTCTGTTTTATGTTATGATTTTATGGTTGACTGCAAAAGTATCATTGATAACTATTATCTATTTATTAATGACGCGTTTTTGGAAAATTAATAAAAAATCGATTTGTTTAAAAATTATTTCAGATTTATGGAATTGAGGATCAATATTTAAATCTGCTATCTACTTTTCTCATATTCTGTTTGTATG